TCTATATATATATATGAGAAAACTGGGGAAGCGCTGGCCAGCGCTTCCCCCGTGCGCTGCATTCCACGTGGCTGCTCGCGGTTAGCTTCCTCCGTTGAATTGAAATCAGCGAAGCTTGGGTTTTTTTTGCAAAAAGCGCAGTGCGTTTCAAATGAAGCTTTTCTCGTGACCCCAACCCAGATCCAAATCCCAAAATTCCTCTCTTCCTCTCCCCCCTCCTCCTTCCGTCCCCAAAACCCCGCCCTCAACAAGCTCCGCCTCCGCCGCATCTTCGACCTCTTCGCCCTCAACTCCGACGACCTCAGCTCCTCCTCCGAGCTCTTCCTCGCCCTCCACCGCCTCGGGCTCGCTGTACCGCAGCCCCAAATCCGCCATCACTCTCGTCGTCGACCAACTCTGAGATCTTTTTTTGCAAAAAGCGCAGTGCGTTTCAAATGAAGCTTTTCTCGTGACCCCAACCCAGATCCAAATCCCAAAATTCCTCTCTTCCTCTCCCCCCTCCTCCTTCCGTCCCCAAAACCCCGCCCTCAACAAGCTCCGCCTCCGCCTCCGCCGCATCTTCGACCTCTTCGCCCTCAACTCCGACGACCTCAGCTCCTCCTCCGAGCTCTTCCTCGCCCTCCACCGCCTCGGGCTCGCTGTACCGCAGCCCCAAATCCGCCATCACTCTCGTCGTCGACCAACTCTGAGATCCCCCTCCCTCCTCCCCCCAAGACCCCATCCAGTCTGAGATCCCCCTCCCTCCTCCGCCGCATCTGGTTAAAAAGAACACTGACGCTGACGCCGACGCCCGAGATCCGACGCCGCCGATGCTGACGCCGCGAGCTCCAGTTCAGCCCCACTCTCAATCTCAAAGGTAAAGCCTTTGAACTGTTTCCTTGTTCTTTTTAACCAGAGAGAAGTTTTAGTGCTTGCTTGAATCATGATTGATTTAGGGATTAGGGAGGAAAACAATAGCAGACAAAGAATTTTGTGGTATTGCAGTTGATTAAAAACTGTGCGATATTTTTCTCTAGTAAAATTAGCATAGGGCATTCTCCTGACAAATCCTCATTGCATTTTTCTGAAATGTGACCTTTGTTGATCGAGCAATGGACCTTTTAGGCTAAATTTTAGTCAACAAATTTGTTAGTTTGTGACATATTAGATTTAACTATGGCTATAAGCCTATAATCAATCAAAATCAGGAACAGCTTTAAAGCCCATATGCTTACATTTAAAGTAGTATTAGTTTACATGTTTTAACTTTTTAATCTTAATTATGTTTGCAAATTTATCTTAAGCTTATACTTGGATGTAGATTTCAGGCGCTACTTGTTTTTTTTAAGATCTTTGGAGAGTAGCAATTTGATCATGCATATTTTTTGTCAATTTCATGGACAAATTATTTGTGTTTGTTGAATTGTTGAAATTTTGGGATCAGTTAGGAATTTGGGATCAGTTAGCATTTGGAAATTGGTTAGCTGCTGCTTATTTCCAAGTTATACATGTCAATAGCATTTGGAATTTGGGATCAGTTAGCATTTCATGGACAAATTATTTGTGTTTGTTGAATCTGCATCGTAGCGAGTTTGGTTGGCATAAAAGAACCTGCCTTCTTTTTGGTGTGCATGTTTTGATCGTTAAGGTGTGTAAACATTTCATGGTAGCACAATTTCTATCAAATTTGGAAACAATGAGTTGAAATTTCTATCATCTGTGTAAACATTTCATGGTAGCACAATTTCTATCAAATTTGGAAACAATGAGTTGAAATTTCTATCATCCTGAACTTCAGGTTTTAGTTCACTGCCACTCGCCACCGAGCTCCTCCTCCGCCTTTCTCTCGAGCTCTCTCTCTGGATCCCTCTCTCAATCCGCGAGCGCAGGTAAAATTCTGCGTGTGGCAGTGAACTATGTTGATTTCACTATAGCACTTGATCTTAAAGAAATGAGAGATTAAAATTTTTGCAGTTCTTGAAATGAGGGGATTAAAATTGGGAGCTGCTGAATATATATTGTTGTCAACAGGGTTATTTGCAATCTTAATTAACTTTGTTTATATATCTGTTCTTGTTGTGAAAATTGAACCTAGTTCGTAGTTTCAACGAACCAGTTCAAAATATAGCATTTGAAGGTTTTAATTTGGGATATTGTATCATAATTGACTCAAAACTTTTTATTTTTATGTGGATGGAAATTGAACCTAGTTAATTTTTTTCCCGATGAACTCATATAATTTCATCGTGGATGTTATATTATGGTAGTTCTCTTGAGATAATGGCTCAAACTGTAGCATTGTTGCAATTTTATATGGTCTTTTTTTATATATATGGTCTTTTGAGAATAATTTGAGTATTTCTTGGTAATATTGTTGGCCTTCTTGTTTTGATGATGTTTAACAAATAATTTATTACTAATGTTGTTTGTCTAGTATT